AAAGTAATAACGAGTCATGATAAAATGCAAAGCAAATCAAGAAAATCTTAATAATAAATTTAGAAATCAAAACCTTAGGGTTGTTTAAATCCTTTAAACCCTTTAAGAGGGCAGAAGTTTTGGCTGTACTACATTTTTTTTAAATTTTTATTCAGGCTTAAAACTTTACTGAGTGGTATTACTCAAATTTATCTTTGGTAAATTTTCTACTTATGTTCAATACTAATTATAAAGTGGGCTAATTACTGGATGGCTTGATTTGTGTTAAGCAATTCAAATTAAATTGTATCTTGAAAAATAGCTCATCATCAAACAAATTATATAGTATATGGCATATGTGAGACGTATGTATTGATCTACTGAGCGCGCAGGAGCGTATATATGCAGAGGCCCACACGCATATGCGGCGGGACAGACGTATATATTGATCGTTGCCGTCCCATCCGCATCATCTACTTGCTAAGGAAAACTATACGTTAACTATTCTTACTTTAAAATTTATTCCAAGATTTGTCCTCTATGCTCATAAGGTTTTGAGTTAATTTATAAGGAAGCCAGTTGTTTAAACAAGATTAAAGATTCTAAAGACGGATTTGTTATTACTAGCACAAAATAAATATTAGACACTTTATTCTGTGCCATTAGGTTAAAATTGTTTGAAACTCTTTAATCAAATTAGTGGCAAAAGTTGGATACTAGTTGTAAAACATTTACTTGATGATTTACAGCATATTTTGACGATCAATTAAAAGTTACCACAACAATATCCATATAAATCCCAAAGTACCCATGGACTTTTGAGAAAACTACAAGTCACACCGCCATAAACCATATACTTAAAATGTTCGATGACGAGAAACTATCCATTATCCACTATCCATTATATCATAAATTGGCCTTTAAGGTCGTAATTCCTTTCTAAAGTGAACTTTCCATAATTTTAAAAATACCTCAGCTCTATTTATGTTTATGTTTTTAATTCAATTTATTACCTTATTAAAAATATCTGTAGGCCTACTTATTTGTATGTTATTTATTTAATTTATTACCTTATTAAAATCAGGGGTGATTATTTGTTTGTAGTACTGTATTAAGTTTTTTTTACGGCTTAACTTAACCAATCTATAGTTCTATTAATACTTGTGAAGTCAAACGGGGTGAAGCAAGGCCCCACTATTTCTAGTGGTGCCTTGGGTGAAGCCCGTGGGTAAAAGCTAGTTAAATTAGTATTAACATAGATAATAGGAGTTAATCTATGGTAACAATGCATTAGTGCAAAGTGCAACGACAATTTTAACTATACCCACAGATTTCGTTTCTCTGTAAATGATTTTGTTCTTGCGTTTCACTTGAAACATTTCTACTCGCCGATCGTTTTAAATTCACACCTATTTTCAGATTGGGTTAATGAACGACCTTTACAATGTCAAATTATTCCATGTCTATTTGTAGATAGCTACGTTTTCAATATTATAACAGTGACAAGATATTCAATGAGGTTTATTTACTTTGGGGCACTAGTAGGCTAATCTTCAGAATTCTTTGGGGCACCAGACACAAGAATTTAAACGTTGTTTAGCTATTTTACGAAAGATACATTAGCTTTTGTGTCATTACTTGTACCTTAGAACCAGAAGATACCACATTCATTGACAGTATTTCCCATCTTAACACGTTCGCGGCGGCACGTCAAATGGCGGGCGTATCCCAGGTGCGGCGCAGCCCTCAGCATCGAACAAACCCGATTGCCGCGTGTGATTGGCTTTCCAATTTCGGTCTGACAAATAGCAAATAACGTGCGAGGATGTCCTGCTTTACAACGAGAGTCCACGTAGTTCGCTTAACACCAACAGATAGCAGCACTGCTTGTAATGTAGCCGGTCCCATTGGAATTGTATTGCCAAATGGAGGGAAAAAGACGGGACAATAGTAGAATTTTGAGATTGCCAGACGGGGATTTTACGGGGAAATTTACTACCAACCTACACCACAACAAAATACAGTATACTATTGAGCAGTGCTGTGCGAGATTTCAAGTTTCTAGCTCTAATCCTGGCTTAAAAATAAATCATTTCGTACTGCATTGCAGCTTGGGAGCGATCGCACCCACCAGGATGGCATTAGGGTTCCGTACGGGAGCGATCGCTCCCATGCCGCCGCGAACGTGTTAAGAGTCTCCCACTATGTATATTGTGTAGGCTCAATTTGGTTTTTATAACCCCAATGCGTCCCAATAAGTTAATATGCTAGAATTGATTAAAATAGAAACATTTTAGTTTTTAGTAAAAGTTATATTGATAGAAGATTCGTTTGGGACTTCCTTCCCTGCATTTATCTACCTCATTATAGTTTGAAAACATCACTATAACGTATGCATATAGCCGTATGCATAAGGCACATAGCCAGGTATCATTTTCGTATTTGATAATATATTATTATGTTATTTTGCTTTAATCTAATTGATCCGTCTCTACTACAACATTTTTACCCCATGAACCATCATTGGTTGAATTTAGTTCATATCCTCAACACTATAATATATGGGAGCTCCAAAACAAATGTTGAGACTCAATATTGCCAACTGATCAAGGCCTTGTGTTAGAGAGTAAGATTTCCCGCAGGAATCGAAGTGTCGTGTTTTGCTGCTCAGGTTCAGAGGTGGATAAACTAATTTAATTATTTGAAAATGAACTGGAATTATGATAATGTGCATAGGCCTAATATGTTATCGATGCTTAAATGTCAATATAGGTTTCGTTTAAGAATCTAAGCAAATATGTCAACCCTCATTGAAAAGGGAATTTTCAGGACCAAAGCTATGAATTATAGTCTGTAAAATATAAGCTGTCTCCTAATCCTCCGTCTACCTGGGACTGACCCTGTCCTTAAACCATCGGCCAGTCCTCAGTTGGAAGACATGAGACAGGCTCCATCTTACAGACTATAGAACACTAGTTCCGACAGGGTTTGGTTTTACAGCCCAGAAGTATCTAAAATGTGTGGCATGTAGACGGTCCACGACCTCCAGGACAGGTTGAGTCAACTTCCGGTGTCCTGACACCTCTAGGGTCGTCACGGTGCTGACGTCATGCCTCGTCGCGTCATATAACGCCTCTATGACGTGGGTCTGCCAGGTCGCAATTCACAATGGAAGCGTTATTCGACTACTTTCCGACTATAGCTGGTGTTTTGTGTGCCCCCGTGTTTAACATATTCCACTTTCAGTTATATTGCTCGTCTAGAAACCAGAAGGTCACCGGTTCAATCCATGAAGACGGCAGTAACTTTTGATGGATTGAAACTTGACCTTCACCTTGGTCCTGACTAAACCAGCTGATCTTGCTTAGTGACAAAGATGTCTTCTCATTCATTCAACGCTCATCCTTTGCTCATCGTTGTCTTAAAACATCCTGGTTTAGGTTATGTCAGTGTCATGAATGGAATGACATTGAAATGTTTCATATTGTTAAACTGTTTAGTGAAAAGGAAAATATCTTATTTTACCCTGCTCTGTTTCAGGACCAACGCTGTTGTGTGTATGCTAAAATGTGGCAAAAGAAGCTTAATCAATAATCAGTATATTCCTCAAATTGGTTTTTGGGCAACGTAATTTTTCTTACAGTATTATAATTTTACCCTACACTGTTGTACGTCTACTAGATCCAACTTTGGGAAACGAAAATTGATGATAGGTGTATTTCTTAATTTTAAAAAATCTAAATTGGTGCGTTCAAATTAACCGGGAAGTAAAAAAAATGTGCATTTTACCCTGCAACAATGTATAACCCTCCTCGAAGGCAAACAATTCCCTTGGTGTTGAAACATGTTCGTTCTAGGGTTCTAGGTTCACTTTGTACCGGAGATGGTTGCGAACACTATCACAATCTGAAATAAATATCTCGACCACTCGCAACCGTTGTAAACAGCTTGATAAGAGGATTTACTTTAAGGAACAAAATACCAATCCAAATGAAGATTACAATCGCGCCGACAACAGATTACCTTAACTTTCACAGTATAAAAGGTGATGATTCCACTCAATGTCAATCAGTCACTCTTATCCATCCAGACATTTCATCTTAAATATTTTTAACAAGTTCAACGAGAAAACAAAGGCATTTTAGAATTCTTCAAACATCGGTTAAAATTTAAAGCTAAAATACATAGGCCTACGTGCATCGTACAACCTATGCTGACGTTTCAATGTAAAACCATGGATAAAACATTTTTCCTTAACTAATTACATTAGGCTGTTTCACATTTTTAGATTTCCATAATCAATTAATCATCTTCTAATATGTAAAATTCTCGTGTCACAGTGTTTGTCTGCAAACTCCTCCGGAACGACTTCACCGATCGTTATGAAATTTGGTGTGTAAATTCTGTAGGTATGCGAATCGGACGTAAACTATTTCCCGTTTCGAAATTCTTAAAAGGGCTCCGCCCCAGTGGCTCTGGAGTTTCCCATGTTAACCTTATGAGAAATGGAATTAATGAATCTTAACAGCTGTTTCAATTAAACAATTTGGTTCTGTTCTATGATGTTCAATAGCATTAAAGTTACAAGGATTACCAACAGGGTGCAGCACTATTATTTCTTTTACATTTATGACAACAGCTAATTTGCAACCAAAAGGTGAGTGAGCGTAGCGAACGAACTTCAACCTGGAGGCGAGTGAGCGCAGCGAACGAGCTAACCTGAAGGCAAGTGAGCGCAGCGAACGAGCTCCAACCTAAAGGTGAGTGAGCGTAGCGAACGAGCTCCAACCCAAAGGTGAGTGAGCGTAGCGAACGAATTTCAACCAGGACGTGATTTGCTTATTTCTTTTCCATCGGTCTGTCTTAGGGGAAACCTATAACTTAGGCGATACGAAGTTCGCCAGGTCAGCTAGTATATATATATATATTTATATAAATAGTTTACCGACGAATAGTTATGAGTAATATAGTAATATTTAGTCAATGATAACAAACTATGTTTAAGAATGGTTTAAGCTTACCTTCGACAGCGTCAAGGAAGATTATAATTCCAAGCCTTTGATCGCTCGACCACCTGGAAAAAATCAAGCTGATTAAAGAATGAATAGCTAAAACTGTTACTGAAACCTATTCAAAAGCATGGTAGCTGTCAGCCCTGAAGGTGGGTCTTAATAACACAAAGAAGTTGTGCACCTAAAAACTTCAAACTAGCGTTAAATATAAAACAAAAAAACTAAATGTCTGTGACTAAACTATTAACTGAAATAAAACCAGTACAAAATAAAAGTGACGTTACTAAAACAATATCAAGTACTGTACTTTCTATCTGAAAATAAAGTTGACTTAAAAAAAAAACCAACCAACCAACAGCATATACGAATTACAACAGTCATAAATTTACAGCCTAATCTGCTTAGTAATATAACATATACGAGTTTGTAATAATATGTAACAAAAATTATATTTAGTAACATTTATATTTATAAAGATTCACAAGCTTGGACAACTAAAATTTCAAAACTAAAAAAACGTCGCCATTATATATATTGTGTCCCATAGAATTGGTTTTAATATTACAAAGTAAACATTAGTATATAAAAATACCTTTCCACGGCAGGAACCCATCGGGTACTCGCTGGGCGTATGGCGTGTAGGCTTCAGCTTACAATCAATAAATACGCCGGGTATATATCCGCCCTTCCATACGCCGAGCCCCCACCCACTGCAGCTGCATTTTATCACGATTATGTTTTAAGGTAGTTTAAGAACATCTAAAATTTCGTCAGTTTTGCTTAGTAGGTTGTGTAAACTCTAATAATAATTAGATAACTGGAACTGGGTACACTGAATTAGCTTAGCTTTCAGAAGAACTTAGCTTAGCCCAATCAAAACTAACTTCTTCCCCTGATATATGCCTAATGTGTTTTCATTGTTGTTTTCTTCTTGATATTCTTTTAAAGGACTCATTACTATATTGGTATGAAACACATCTGAATGAAAAATAACCAGACATTTTGTAGAAAAACAATTCTCAGGCCTGGGATAGTTATCAAGTGTAATTATTAGTTAAGTGTAATTATTGAAAGTTTATACTGTACCCATGTAGCACAGATGGTTGGGCCAACGTTGGCCAACTGTGGGACAGTTGGTCGATGGTTGGTTGGAGCTTCCACAACCAACCAACCGTTGTCCAACTGTATATCTCGTAGTTGGGCCAACCAATATTTACAACTGTGGACCAACATCGGTTCATTGTTAATGAAATACATTAATATGCATTGTTGGGTATCATAAATCAAGCCAACCGTTGTCCAACCGTTTTTCACTCCGTTGGACCAACAAAAGATACTTTTGTTGGACCAACGATGGTCCATAGTTGAGTTTACACGACTTTCATTCTCTGGGTCTAGCTTTCACAACATAATTATAATAAAATATCTGGTTTTACAATACCTTTATCAGTTCCAAAAGTTTCCAAAAGTTTTTGGAACTGATAAAGGTATTGTAAAACCAGATATTTTATATATTACAGTTCCGGGGCTACAACGATGAATTTTAATAATTATAATAATGCAAATATTTTTTAAATTAATATTCTTTAACTTATTTGCAACAATTTAAGGGGAAAGAGTAATTAATCATATAACAGTCAATTATAATAGCATTAATAATCTAACGGTAATTAATTAATCTATTTTCAAATACCAGTATCCTCTCTAACTCCAAAAAAAAAAACTACTTATGATGCCTTAACAGAATCATATTATACTGTGTAGTATCAAAAATGTTTGAAGTATTGCGACCATTGCAACTGTCGGCTACTCTTTCACCACTTGAAAACTCTCTGTATCAACAATCACAGATAGCTCAGTGGTAAGGTAAGAGGCTCATTAGTCGAAGGACCCGGGTTCGAGACCCGTCTGGTCCAAAAAATTTTGTTCCAGCTTTTTTTCAAAATTTGTTTTTATGAACTATTTAATCAATTTACTCAACTAATAATTATGCTTTTCGTACTAAATCTTTATTATTTTGTGTGAAATAATTTTGGTTGGGCCATTGTTGGACAAAGGTTGGCTGGAAAACAGTTTAAAGAGGTGACATTTCTACCGTTGGCCAACTGTGTGGCTCCACAATTTACCAACGTTGGCCCAACCATCTGTGCTACATGGGTAGCCATAAGGGGGTGGAAACAAAGTGTCGAAACTATGAAGAACGCTGACTTTAATCACAGAAAATATACTACTATAAACCTTTAATACATAATAACTACAGTCTGGTATGCAATATGCATGATAACACATCCCCAATATGACAGTCATAACCTACGATGAATATGCCTACAATGGTATACTCTGTAGGACAACAGGCAAAAAAACACGTAAAATTGGTCTTGGTTTATTTTCTCCCCAAAGGCATTTTTCAAAATTCAAACCGAACGACCCAAACTCTGGTATCTTAAATAAACATGAAACCGTTAGAAAAATTAAATATTTTGGAAAGCCCAATAGCAATCTACCTACGGACCAACGGACCCAATGAAAGCCTAATGACAATCTCCCTACGGACCCAATGAAAGCCCAATGGCAATTTCGGATACGAACATAACTACTCTGCCATCGTTATATGAATAACTCACCTATTTTCGTAAGAGCGTCAATATATGCACTGGAAACAACAAAAACTAACGTTTGCGAGGAATTGCCCAGCAATCTTACTCGCCCTTGCGTCACAACCGTGGGAGTAAAATGTTCTTCAGCGACAACCAAAAACACCAAAGTAACTAGAGTTCACATGGAAATAATTCACAACAGTCTTTTCAACATACCTCCTTGTACGCGTACAGAAAAACCAGCAATTGACTTGCTCCGCTCAGTGGGTAGACTTGCGCGTTCAATTGACAAAAGCCGTGTCAAATCTGAAATCTCTACGTTGAAAACAAACCATCAAAAGTCAAGAAGAGCGAAGAACAGACGATACAGGTTTGTAGCCAACACTGTTGTGTCGATAAAGTATTCAAGCGAGGTGACATTTGGCATGCAATATTAATTGGGTAGTTAGAGCAAATTACCACCAGACACGAAACGAGTACTTTGGAATATTAAAAACAAATTTCGATCATGTTATGTCAGTGCAATGTTTATGAGGGGAAAATATATTGAAATGGTAGAAATACCTGATTTAGTAATCGTTAATATTTCTTACAACTAGTTTCGAGCATGTGGCGAGTTGGTGACATCTTCAGGCTGGTACAAGAACATACGTAAACCCTCGATAACAAGACTCCCATGGGGATTAAAAAAGACTTGTTATCAAGGTTGGCTCATCTTCGAGGTTTGCAATAACATGTGATTTGAGGTAAGATAAATTCACGGGGATTTGAAAATGACACTTGTGATCAAGAGTGACTTGTTATTGAGGGTCTTACGGAGGCTCCACTGTATTGTAATCATCGTCAAAACTTTATGCCAGAGTCTACTAGACTAGTTGTAGTTGCTGTCTGTACAGGTAGTTGCCATCAGTCATCTGTCATCATTCAGCAATCATCAACCCCTGTCCTGATGACCTGATGATGACGGTGACATCGGGCGACCGCCGAAACTCGCAAGCAATACATTCACTGGCTGACTCATACGATATCGAATGTCACTCACTAACTTAGACATCAAGCGGCTACAATATACCAACCAAGCATTGTACTATAATTTAAATATCCGTCTTCAAGTGGTACGTGTCAATTCAAGTTTCAAAAAGATTTGCAGAAACATCGGCACCCAAATGTATTTACAAAGCTAATTTATCTGTAGCCCAAGTTAGCGTTATGACACATGGCTTGTGGAGTTGAGCTGATCCAACTGGTGGTAGAATACGTAAAGGACAATCATTCACGTTGATTCAGATTCATCCCCACAAAGACTCGGTCTTGGACCTGACCTCACTTGACTTGCCAGAAGCCCTCACGGCTCATGCGTCACTTTCTCATTTTAAATTGAAGTTAACTCCTTGTGGCGATGTTTTAAACAATACCCCCTTGGTGGTTCCTAAATTTGTTGACGTTAACCTTTTCTCTATAGAAACCATCAATGGTTATTATGAATGTTTCGAGACCTGTACTAAACACTTTCCAAATCCTGCCTGACGCAGTCTTCAAGAAGTTCCTATTCATAAATTGGAGCTGTCTTCAGGGAATCTAAAGACATAGACCTGCGAATTTGTATTTTAAAAGAATAACGTTAGTCACAATTATACCATAGATAAAACATAAACATACTAAGGGAATATATGTTTTAAGGGACTATGATTTATCTATGGTTTTATCTATGATGGTACCTAAATCTCAAAGTAATAAAGTATACAGAACAAAACAATATATATTGATATTTTAGTACCGTACGTTTTAATACAAATTCAGTACCTGTTATAGCACTTGTCTTGGAAAGGGGGTGACACTTTTGTATCACCATAAACCACCAAACATTTGTTTCTGCAGTCAGGTTGAAAGTAGCTTTCATGCGATATCGTCTCAAAAGGCGACCTACATAGGGAAAACACACAACAATCAGTCAGTACTAAATTGGCCATTGTCACCGTTCTACTGACAGAAAGACAGTGAAAGCTAACTGCCGAAACGTACATTGACGTCCTGCGTACAGACAGAACAGAACGAGGCCACTGACTTTGCTGTACAGAACTAAAGAAGCAGAAGTAGCTGTACTGCTTCGTGAGCATTGGGCGTGAAGAAGCCGGTGTCGGGTGTAGGGGAAGACATGGGCTTTGGAAATTATTTTTGAAATAAAACGGTTTAAAAAAATATGAGAGATCTTTTTGGTATCAAGGCCATATGAAAAAGTAAATTTAAGTTACCGTATGTAAACAAATTATCTTATCAACATCGATTGATCGATTAAATCGCAGTTTCTAAATGGCGACGGTGAAAATGTCTTTCAAAATCCAACCAGATTGTGTGTAATATATGACAATTGATATCGAAAATTAATAAGCCATGTTAACAAGAAGAACCCAAAAATAATATTCATTTTTACAATATGATGAATAACTGATTAACAATGAAATGTTATTTATTGTTGATGTTTTTATTTATACCATATGGTACAATTAAAATCATTATGATATATAATCATCAAACCGGATAGAAATCTATATAGTTTGATATATATCGTTATTCGTACATTAATAAATCGTAGGCTCTTAACGGAACTGCAGCCACTAAACGGAACTCTCTTTACAAAATGTTTTAAAATCGCACATCTTATCCCTATAGAATAATATAACATGCAATGATGCAGATTAATTATAACACACAAATGATTGAATCCATAAAAACCGCATTACATTAATACTGTTAAGGGAAATCGAAAGTTCTCCTCCAACCAATTAATTATGCCAACCAATAACTTAATGCGGCTTTTACTCCTTAGATTAATTACACTGAATACTTAACGTACCAATTGTTTCCGTTGGACATGCGTGTTATGTAAATACCTGCGACACATGCAAAGTACGGCCGCTAATAAATTACGTAGAAATTATCACGTTGTTGACAAACTATAAGTCCATTAACAGCTCCACTTGTAATCCGAACTTCAAACATCAACTAACAATGAAGAAGACATTAATCAACATTCATGTCAATGCTCCTGATACCCTCGAAATACAACACAGTGGGTCTAGAATGACCTGTATTAAGTAAACGTTATCTTAAACTTTAAAACTTAAATCTACGTGAGTTAAATAAGATCCTACTCTACTTGTCAAACCAAAGTTCCATTTGTTTATTTTGTTTAAACTACTACAAGTTCAGTTAACCTCAAACTTCAACTACAAAAGAAATAATTAAAATCTATTCATGAAAAAACACGGCCAAAATGCAGTTATTCTAATCGATCTTTGTTCGCTATGAATAATTTACCACTAAAATTACGTTTTAAACTCGTGATCTATTTACTATATGCGGGTTACTTTAAAAGTGAAGTCGATAGGTAGCACAATTGCCAATGGTGGGAACACAGGTAGTAATCAGGTCACGGCTGTTAAATGCAAGCAAAAATAATCGCAGAAAACAAAAAAACAAGCCAACAACAAAAAAACATAAAAACAAAAACTATATGTAATCAAACCTGTCCCAATTTTCTACACATTGAGAGCAACACATAACAAAGAAGCCAGGCGACTGTAGGCCTATAATTTAAACAAAAACTTTCCCCAAGAAACGGATGCAATATTTAAATAATAAAAGAAAGCCAAAACCAAACAAAAAACATACATCAACTTACCAAAATACAACAAAAGTCGACGAAATAAACAACAGCAGACGCACAATTTGTATACACGAAACTGACTGACCGCGGCCACTAGGATAACTGGACAACTGAACTAGTCACCTGTGTGACCAACAATGCAGCCGCCATGTTGATGACGTCATTGACGCAGTGGTGCCACCTGTCGAGAACAATGCTCACTGCTGACCAAGGCGCTCTTTTGAACCACTTTTAAACGCTGCCATGCCGGTGACGCCAGTGATTAAGAGTAAATTATTTAATAAAAGACATTTTATTACATAATTCACTCTTAATTTTCTTTTTCTCAATGTTAGTCTATGATTCTACATAGCAAAAGGGGGGGCACGCTTTTGCTTTGCAGCCATTAGTCTAAATCACGGTATATTAGCAGTTACTGCCAGCAGAACTGCCAATTGCAGAAAATAAATAGCCGTCAACTCAAAAGAATTAAGTTAAAAACATTCTATTGCAATAATTACATTTTGTCCTTGAATAGAGGGATGAAAGTTAGCTAATCTTCCCCTCTTAGTCCCGTAGATTATCTGAATAATTTTAATCGAATTTAAGTTTAAGAAGCATTTAGTCAAAGGCTATAGAAACGCATTGAGCAACAGAATAAGACTGTTATCAACTTATCATCTGACTGTTATCAACTTGACATTCCAATCTGTTTGCAAACTAATAACATTGACTTAGGATAAACCTCTCATCATATCTGGAATTCCAAAGCTTGATCTGGAATGTTCATTAATGTAAACTAATATTGTTTCTATCTCTTTTTAGGTTAAATTTTACAATACTCTCGGATTAAGCAGCAGTAGAATGAAAATGTATCGTTGTTTTAGAATATAATAATTTTAAGTTAGCATTATTACCTGTAAATAAATATAATACACATAGGCGTGCTTTGTTTCAGGACCTAAGTATACATGGAATATAACTTAAAATTCCAGCTAATTCATAAAATTGATAAATCCATTGCGTTTTTGTAAAGGCCAAGCATTTGTTGATATAATATTGCTATGTATTATAAATAGTTCAATAAATGTAGTTTTGTATTACTAGCTCCGATAAGATTGATGCTGAAGCGATTCCTTCTTATCATTATTTTTTTATATAGGGATGATTTCAAAAGATGTATTACTGTTTAAATTCGTTTTGTTTAAATTGTTTTAAAAGTTGTCCGTCTACAGACCATAATAATCCCTATATTTAACAATAAACTAATAAATGCTAATTTTTAAAACTCATCTCAACATAATCTTAAATCGCCAACGTTTTAAGCAAAATATAACTACGTCAGCCTATGCAATTTTAAAGAAATCAATGAACATTTTAAAAATCAACCCAATTTTGAACCTTTTTAGGAGTCCCTCTAAATATATACTATCTTCCACTCATTTTAAATTATAAAAATGATTATACATTACACAATCTGTTTTTTTACGTGTACAATCAGACATATGCCTAACTCAAAGTTTCCTAAGTAATTGGTTGGTCGAGGTCGGGTATATACTTTTTAGATTAATTTAATTAACTTAGTGTACCGTGTCTTCAAGCCCAAGGTATACAACAAATGTATACCTTGTTGACTAATTGAGTTAGTGGATATATCCGTTTTGGGCACCCCTGAACCCAAAAAAGGGTTTTTGTTGAAGTGAAAGTCTGCATGTGTGGATGTGTACAGAGATACAGACCACACCTGTAGTTCGATTTCGATGAAATTTAGTATGTAGGCAAATCCATGGTAGGCTATCTCCAGGATTTTTTTTATTTAAATTTTTTATGGTATGATTTCCCATAAAACTCATAAAATAACGGAAAAATTGAATTTTCTCGAAAATGGCCCAAACTATTTTGATAGAAATTTAGTATGTTTGCTCTTTGAACTCTCAACGAAAAGGTACCCATCCCATTTCCGTAAAAATTACCGTTCAAAAGTTAATGTAATTTAAATGTTATTTTCCCATTAAACCCCCCCTTTAAAAAACAAAAAATCAGATCTTCGAAAAACCCCGGTTTTGATAAAACTAGTATCTTATGGTCCTTATAATTCTAAAAAAATTGTGTAGCCCCCATTGCTGTAAAAATTACGGCTAAAAATTTGTTGCCACTTTTGTGATTTTCCCTATAAAATATCCAAGCTACGCCCACCGCTTACCCATGAAGGTTGTTGAAAATCTAATGGAAGAAAGCATGTGTCAGATTGCTGATATAGTTTTTTCTTCTCGTGTATAACTGTGTAGATTGAAGCCCTGAAGATTTGCTCAACGCTCATAAAAAAATTGGGAATTTTTTTACCCATTGTCTTATTAAATAGATGAATTTGGAAATATGACGATTTACAACGATCCCCAATTTTCCTATTAATAACCGAATAACTCACCAAATGGTAAAGTATTGATTAAATTACACTATAGTTCAATGATTAGTCTATTCGTATAAGATTCGACATATTTAAATCTATTATTATAACCTCAGCGTTATAAAGTATTTACTCTGTGGTTTAGCAAAAGTAATTTGCATATTTTGCTGACTATTGCCTCTGAATAACTTAACGCCACGTAACCAATTAAGAATAGAAAATCAGGAAACAGACAGTTTAGTCAGGGAAAGTGCAAGTACCAAAGTCAATGGTGCATTTAATACCAGAACTGGTCTTCGTTTATCTTGACAGTGATTTCAGGGAATTCCATTATAAATACCTAAATAATTTAAAAACTCGTGCTTAAGGCTAAATACAAATTAAATCATTGATGAACATGTTTGTTGTTACTATATTGTATCAGCAATATACTTACTACCGGGTTTCTTATTATATTAGCGGTTACTTTATAAAAACTAAACCGTTATTTATGCCACAAGAGGGGTTTATTACTTTTTATTACATCTTCTAACTGATTTACTTAGTAAAATATCCATGCCACATTGCTACACTTGTACCAAAAAGTCATTATAGGGAAATTGTACAAAAAATATGTTGTTCAAAACATCTGTAAAAAGTGATGTTTTGCTAAGTTCTCTAACCATCAAAAAGTAGACTTCTTATCCTATTGTAAGTTCTGAAGCTCGTTTTCTTGTCTAGTTCATGTTGGTGACACTGATCGCTATAGTGTCGACGAAATTTCGTTTCTATTAGTTTAGGCGGGTTAATTTCATTATTTGTAATTTACTATATGGTTATATAACTAGGGGATGAGTTATTGTTTATGATTCGATCATCTTATCTGGCAAGGTTTGACTGAAATACAACAAATTGTAAAAAAAAAAAACACACAACCTCCCTCTTCAGTACCGGACGGAACTACTGTAAAAGTAAAGTTGTCTTCAGGTGATCCAGGATGACTAATCTACTATAAGGGAGTATATGTTTTAGTTTGGTTCTATCATTGGTTCACGAATGTGATTTAGTATTTGTGTCATTGACTATTGTATAATAGTCAAAGGTTCTGTTAGGGTAAGCAATACCTTTAGCTGCCTACAAACAAAACAGCTGTTACAACCATGATGGAAGGGGGATGTGGAATAATACCCCCCCCCCCCCCCGAAAAACCACCCCCTGGTGAAAATTACGTCATGAAATCTGCCAACTAACCAATATGGTAGCCGTGTCCCATGGCTGTGTCCACGACTGGAATACTACCCCACTAGCAAAATGTTATGCTACGTAATTGTAATTTTAATTCAAGTAATTCCGTTTGAAAACAGAAAAGGCATGTGGGGAATATTATACAGAATTTTGAAATGTTACACCAAGTTTGGTTGGTTAGGTTAGGTTAGTTTAGAACAGTATGACAACGAAACTTGAGTATCGGTGACGGGAAAACTGCCACCCTTGATCTCTGACGTCAACATGACGTAGGGACATGCTTGGGGGGGTAGTTGTCCGGGGGACAGTCTTGCGGCGACCCAATGGAAGGACAACCCTACTTACGACCATAGATAAAACATACTCCTCAAGAGGAGTATGTTTTGTTACGACGTTGCCATTTTGAAGGCCACGGTCTGGAGTTAAAGGGGGCCATGCCCAGGCCCATAGAAAAACATCATAGATTATTTATTTGGTCGATAGTACCATGAAAATACACACCCATTCTTCTTGCCGTAAATATATGTTTATAGTAGTAATTGTGAGTATTATTTTCCACATAATTAGGAACAGGTCAAATTAAAACACAAACTAACTTTAATAATCCTTGGAACCCAAGTAACTATTCAAAACCAACAAACCAGTCACATAATTATTTCATTAAAGATTAATAAGCCTAATAGAAAACTATAAACAAAAGCAATGGGCAGCCACGATGGAATTTACCTTGAGGCTGCATGGCTTACAAATTTCAGCCAGCCTGAAACTGACTATGAAACACGCAACACGCAACCCTTTGGCAAATTATTACAAAAAAAGAAAACAAATCATAAATGTCATAAAAAATCATCAACACAACACAACCACAACAGGAACAGAGTGAGAGTGAGAGTTGGTTTTTAGGTTATAAACTAATAAACTTAACTTATTTAATACACCCACACAATACCTTTATACAAACGATAAAGAAAGATAACTTTAGATTAATATTTACTGTGTAAGATGGCATTTACATTATGGAATCTGTTTGAAGCAACGCTTTTATGTTTAAATGCAGTCTGTATTTTGCATGAAGAGAGGTTTCTAGCCAAAAGTAAGTTTTTTTTATTAGGTTAAGTTTTTAACTCTGAGGGCTAGGATTGTTAACTTATCAGTTATTATTCTGTGTAGTGTTTGTACTAGAGTCACAAACAAAAATTACTCCCTTGAACGTTAAAAACAAATCACTTTACACGTTACACCTTACTAGGCCTAGGCCTAAGTTAATTATTGAAAATAACTAAAAAGTGTTAACTTGTAACGTAGCCTAACATGATGTGTTAGCAACAGGATTTCAAAACCATTTACAGGCTGCACTTTAGTTTAGGTCCTACACTCATTCGAATGAAAATATCGATCGATTGTTTCATTTGATATATCGTTTTGTTAGTTAGGTAAGGTTAACCTAACCTAACTAACAAAACGATATATCGAATGAAACAATTGAACAAACGATATTTTCATTCGAATGAGTGTAGGACCTAAAGTAAAGTGCAGCACATTTACACTAACGAGCATTGTTATCATGCCTAGCCTAGGCTATGTAATATTTTATTCCCAATAGTGTGTGGCCTATTAGTTGGGTAGCTGTGCAGTTATATTTTAGTGCTTGCCTAACAAGCAAAAGGTTGCCAGATCGATCCTGAGAAAAGGCAGTATCTTTTCGTAGGGTTAGTTTGAAACTGAGCCCATCTGTTCCTGATCATTAGGCTAGTAGGAAGGCAGCCAAAAGGTCCAATTTCCATCCTGCGACTGTTATGACTCTACTCGCGTGGCTCTAGCCGCACGGCTGAAAAAATTGACTGCTTCAATGCAAAGTAAATGCAACCCATTCCTATCGAGTGCCTACAGCCGTGCTACTGGAGCCGCGCGTCTGGAATGAATCTATCTAACTTAAAGCCAAAAGTACCCATGAACTTTTGAGAAAACTACAAGTCACACCCCATAAACCATATACTTAAAATGTTCGTCATGACGAGAAACCTTGCAAAATTATCCATTATTTCATAAATTGCCCTATAAGGTCGTAATTGCTTTCCAAAGGGAACTTTCCATGTACCTAATGTTAAAGATACCTCAGCTGTTATTATTTGTTTGTATTATCATTACTGTTCTGTTTTGTTTATTTCAGCTTAACTTAACCAATCAATAGTTTTATTAATACTTATGTAGTAAACGGGGTGGAGCCCGTGGGTAACAGCTAGTTTATAGTTTATATATATACGGAGTTTAAGGTGTGTACCTTCATAGATGATTCAAAGTTGATGGAACTGGTTCGTCACCACCCATACGTTTTCAACCCCAAGCACCCCCAATACTTTAAGAAGATGTTTCTGAATAAGAATACCCTGAAACCCCTCTTTTCGCTGTACCATGAACAATGGATTAGGTTGTTCATTGTTTTTTACCATAAGTTACACATTAATATTTCCTTTTCCTCATCTTCTCCAAGTAATATATTCGCTGCAAACTGTGCTTATTCCATGACGGTCAAGAGTGCAATTGCAGTAGTCACTAGTCGTGAGAGTCGCAGGAGTCGCGGCATAGGAATTAAGACAAGCGTTTCGAGCCGTATGGCTCTAGGCGTGCGTCTACAGCCGCGCGATAAGAGTCGTATCAGTTGCTGCATAGGAATTGGACCTTTAGTCATTAACAGAGCTATACAGATCAACTAGGCTACTCCATTTTACTCTCATCTAGGTTATTATTCATATTTGAGTTCAAATACCCACCTAGGTGGCGTCTCATTTGATAATTATCTGACATTCATTTGATATTGGTTTACACTTCTCTCAAACAAATGTTATTGGTATGATGTCTTGAAAATTCTGTAAGTTTGTTTAAACATCACCTGGTTATGGTAAAACTAACTTTGATTAGATGTGATTTTTTGACGTTGAGTCTTGTTATCGCTAACTTAAAAACTTCACTAGCCTACCGGTAGGCCTATAAATATAGGTATTTTAGCTCACAGTCTAACTTAAAGACTGTGATTCTGCTTGTAGGATAATTTAGGCTTGATGTGCTATAACTAGCAGTTCTTTCGTTGTATAAATTGTATGTCCTCTCAGCCATTTTACAACAGGTGCAAAAAAACCAGTAGGCCCACTGAAATCATCATATCTTAGTCAGGAAATAATGCATAACTTAATAAGGTGACCATGGGAATCTGTAAATTATAAATCACCGGAAACAAGATTTTTATCTGAAAACAATGGTGTACAAATTTTCCCGCGGAGACAAAAACTTAATAAACCTCGTTCGCTTTTATTAATTTTGTTACTGTAATTCTCGTCTGCTTGTCTCTGTCGTCATTAAAAGATACAAGATACAAGATACTTTATTTGGTCAATTGAAAAATAATACATACAGTTAAATAGACCACGACAGATTGTTAAGTAAGGCTACCGTACATGAAATATTGCTTTCAGTATCAGGTACATAGTGAGACATTTTTGGTTGACTAGATTTAAGTAGAAACATTTAAGCTGCTAATATACTATATACAAAGGAATGAAACATGAAGATTACTAGACACGAACATTAACTTAACATGTGAAAAACTACCTAAAAACTTAAAAAACCTACAGTACCTATTTGAACAGAAAACTGATTTTAGTTCGGATGAAGGTACCTCGTAAAACTCTTTGATTTTATAAAATTGCCTGGATACTAAAAACCTGTAGGCTAAAGAGTGCTTTTATATCTGCTAAAACACATGTCGAGCATTTTCTGGTAGCCTATTAAACATGTTTACACTTATTTCGTCAAACCAACATTGGGTCAAGCTTCAAAGCCTATTAAAGGATTCATCTAATATCTGCCACTTGTTTTGTGTAGGGCAACAGTGGTGTTGGATTAGAACAGTTTTGATTTGTAATGCATTTATTTGATTAAAGAAGTCTCATTGCGGTTAGTGGTAGTGGTAATTACTTTTTCACTACCTATTACTCTACTAATTACTATTTCAGATAATTATGCAACTAAGACATATTTCAACCTTATAAATACAGTTACAGTAGACTCCCTCTTATCCGGACACCTTTTAACCGGACATCGGTTTAACCGGACTACACTCGGCGGAAATTACATCTCTTTAACTGGACAATATTTATCAGCACATTGGTTTAACCGGACTAGATCGGCAGGAAGTGAGCAGTAGGCCTACTGAAACGACTGTTCTCGTGGGAAAGATTTGAGACCAGTGATCACGTTTCTAAATACAATGCTCTCCTAAATTTCAGTCGAATATCACAGTAAACGGTCCGTTTTAACAAGTTTTTGGGGACGTCAGTTTAACCGGAAAAACTGTTATCCGGACTGGCATTGGTTCCGAGGAGTACGTATAAGAGGGAGTCTACTGTATGAGTGTGGCATCGGTAGCTTTTTCACTGACCAGCAGTTTCTATAGCCAATAATACGAATGATCATTACTGGTCCAACTTAATAACATCAAACAGCTACTGCCTTTTATCAATATAAACCAGCAACATTTTGAGTCTTTATTGAGTCCTATGACTTGGCTACGTAACTCTTTGTGCTTGAAATTGTGTACGTTTACAACTGCACAGTTTTTACAGTCAAAAACTTCTCATGGCACCTTTTACTGTTTAAATATGAACAAGCGCTGACTAGAAATACTGGTGTAGGTAAATGAAAACATCTTAGGTGTAATTATAACCATATTTTGTTTGTTTTCCAGTGGGATGGGGAGTGAATGCCAATGTTCAAGGGTTTGGTGAACAACCGACTGTTAAATCACAGATATTAAATCTGATACGTTCCATTAGGACAGTGATGAGAAGTAAGTAACGTAATTTTGATTTTAAAACCTCTCTCTTTCTTAATGTTTCATGGTGAAATATGACAAGCGTAGACTATGGTCAGCTATTTTTATTTGTTTTTATCCATACTCAATGTTACTTACCTACTACCAATACTGCCATGGCCACTTGTACCCAAGCTGGTACTTGGCCTCGCCTACACTTCGTTACCAGTTCTCTCGCTCCTCTGAATCTGGTCTTCCTACTGGTCTCCTTCCCCTCGGATATCCCCTCGGTACCTTCTTCAACAAGCTCTCCTCAAGATATGGCCAACCAATGTTATTATCAACAATTTATGTATTGCAATTTACTTAAACATTTCACTTCATGAGACATATTTTGTGACAAAAGACTTCTACAACCTTTTTGAATACGGTATGTAAATATTTTTGTATGTATATTTCTACGCTAAACTGTTAATGAGTAAGAAGTTCCAATTTTTGTTACAAACACTCTTTAATGCATTATTTCAAGTAACAAGTTCATTCAATTGGTTTCATTTAATTATTTTTGAGTTAAGAGATTTGTTAAGTTAGTATTGTTAATAAAATAGAGGTAACTTTCTTTCTTCCATTGTATTACATAGTTATCCATTAATTTTTGTTTTTTGCATTTTTTGTTTCAGTACCACTAATATTTCTGAATATTGTTACGATAGCAGTGAAATTGGTGTTGGGGTAGCCGAGAACCAAAGAAGGAACACCCTCAAGCAAAGACATGGTTTGATGTACATTTTAAAACTTTATACCTGCCAACTGATAAGTGTAAATAATAAGCTATTTAAATATATATTTTTAAAATCAACATTGGATTTTGTTCCTGTTCCTTTAGTGGGCTCTAGATAGTTTTAGTAAGTTATATGTTTTGAGTCTATCTTTTGAAAACTTTCACTCACAGTACACTATTTACAAGCATAACCTAACAAATAATAAGTAATAGTCAAGCTTACAACATTGTAGGTTTACTATACGAGTAGGTACACTGTAAGATGTTGGGTTGACCAGCTTTGTCATTGTCACCAGCTTGTGACCAGCTTTGTCACCCTAGACTAAGGTGTAATGCGATCCGTGCCAAGAGTCTTGTGGCACTGGGGGCCTAATATTCAGTGTCTTAACGGAGCCTTCTGGGAACCAGGGGTAACCCAGTCGTACACACCCCTTCGAAACGACCTCTCTAATCGGGTCACTGGGGAGGTGGACTTAAATACCCGGTATTCGTGAGAACAATGTAGACAGTCTGACCCAAATGGAGGAGGAAGGTCTACTGAAATCTGACGATGACGACAAGCTCGCAGAAACCGGAAAGGAACGAAAAACGACTTTCCAGGGGCGATTTGCAAAGATGGAGGATAGCGGATGCTTTAGCCAAAGGCGAAAAGATGCTATCCAGAAGTGAGAGGAGGCTGGTGTGGGCTGCCAAGCACCCTAACTCTGCTGCCTGCAAAGCCAGTTCCTCCGGGAACTAGGATGCTGGGAAAAAGCAGAGCAAGGGTGGTACCCCCAAAGCTGACTCTAATGAAGCCTCCAGGAAGAAAGGTGGAGGCTGTGCTGACGCAGCCACAAAGGATTGGCTGGTCAAGCAAGTTCAGGAGCTGAGACCTTTCAGGGAAATCTCGCTACGGCTTGCCCCAGCCAGAGACCTTGTGAAAGCTGTGAAGGTATATCTATGTGCCCAGCCCTACAAGGTCTGCGTATGAGATCCCTTGTACGAAAAACGACTTTCCAGGGGTGAGTTGCAAAGACGGAGGATAGCGGATGCTTTAGCCAAAGGCGAAAAGGTGCTTTCCAGAAGTGAGAGGAGGCTGGTGTGGGCTGCCAAGCACCCTAACTCTGCTGCCTGCAAAGCCAGTTCCTCCGGGAACTAGGATGCTGGGAAAAAGCAGGGCAAGGGTGGTACCCCCAAAGCTGACTCTAATGAAGCCCCCAGGAAGAAAGGTGGAGGCTGTGCTGACGCAGCCACAAAGGATTGGCTGGTCAAGCAAGTTCAGGAGCTGAGTCCTTTCAGGGAAATCTCGCTACGGCTTGCCCCAGCCAGAGACCTTGTGAAAGCTGTGAAGGTATATTTAGGTGCCCAGCCCTACAAGGTCTGTGTATGAGATCCCTTGGCCTATTGATGGGAGATCAAAGGGAAGAACAGGTCACCATAGTCAAGAGGCTCTCATGGTTCACCAAGGACCTGGGATTTGACGGAGAATGAGGACCTGTGAACGAGGGTGCACAATAAGCTGTTCTAGCTGCGATGCAATCCCATGGTAACTTGTAAGCCTGGCCCTCTGTTAAAAAAAAAAAAAAAAAAAAAAAAAAAAAAGCTTTGTCATTGAATACAGTCATTAACTTTTGGATACTGTAGGCTAGTTGGATACCCATCTATAAGGGCCAGCAGCTGCTGTCACCAATTTTTTTATTTCAAAATGGTCATACAGTCGACTCCCTCTTATAACGGGTTTTTTCGGTTAAACCAACGTCCCCAAAATTTTGTTATGTAACCCAAATATTTTACTTAAATTTAGGAGAGCATTGTATTTAGACACGTGATCACTGGTCTCAGATCTTTCCCACAAGAACAGTTGTTTCAGTACAGTCCACTTCCTGCCGATCTAGTCCAGTTAAACCAATGTGCAGATAAGAATTGTCCGGGTAAAGAGATGTCATTTTCGCCGTGTGTAGTCCGGTTTAACCGATGTCCGGATAAGAGGGAGTCTACTGTAGTTGAATATGCCAGTCATAGACTGGGCTACCAACTAAGACTCTATTTTCTCCTCATTTTGAGATAGTTGATGTGATATAAAAGTTGCATATCGTACAATGTAGTCTTGTCAGTTTGACTTAAATTCAAAAAGTTGGTGAATTTGACAGGAATCAACAATTACACCAGCGCAACCTGTCAGTGGCTCTATTGAACTATCTCCATTTTTATTTTAAAACGGCCATAACTTTAGTGTGGGGATGGATTGTCTAATTCTATCTTAGTCAAAGGTACAGTACATCACCATAGCAAGGTGAATGTTTTCTCGATCCAATCTAGTGTGCGACTCAAGAGAAACTAGCCCTATGGTGGCGAGATTGTTGGCCTAGGATCCGAGGAACACATAACATAAGGTGGATGTCTTGGATGAAGTTGATGGGATGAATGTATTCTTTGTGAGAAACAGCTCATATCAGGCAATTTTACAACTTGTTATTTATCAATACTGAATACGTGTTGGTATCCACCAAAAATTGGTTAAGTATGGATTTTCATTTTTGTTCAAATTGATTGCTGTCCTTTTCATTGACATAAAAATGCCTATGGTTAAAATTAACTTAATTATTTACACAAAACCGATAAATCTATATCTATATCTATACTTATTTAATACGCAAGCAGGTTTTTTGTGACAATTACTCCTCCGAAACTACTGAACCGATTTACATGTTCTTAATGTCATTAGAAAGAGCGTAACGTGAAGTTGTGCAGGAAACTTTCTTTTTAGGGAAATAATTAGAGGGTGAGGCCCTGGGGCCCTTTAAAGTTTCGTATTTCTCCATAAGACTAACATGGGAAACAAATATTGTTATGAAACTCCAGCTGTTGTCAGAAATTAAAAGTGAGAAGAAGAACATATGTTAATTGTAAACAGTCAATAAGTTTGCTAATTTAACAGTTAGTTTGCCACAAACATTTACTTACTCGGTTGAAAATGAAATAGTTACTATTTGGGTTGGCGTAATTATTACAATGGGAAAAAACGAGAGAGGCTGGATAAATTGATATAGGTACTAAAAAGAAAACTGAATTAACACTGTGCTGCATTTCTTAGTAATCATTGAAAGAGACGATTTCCAAACTATGGAAACATAGGAAAGTCATAGAACACCACCAAGGGGAAGAAATAGAAATAATGTGTGTTATAAAGACTAAAAAACAAAATCAGCTTTTGAAAAATGATAAGATATTTACAAGAAATGTTGATTATATCGATCTGTTATGTACATCTTGAGTATTCCATAATCTTTGAGTCGAATCTTTTATAGTCATAAAAAATATGACTGTTATTCGTTTTAAAATAACGCCTGTAATACTTAGCAATTGCTCGATTTCGAGCAACAGGGACACTAGTACTTATTTAATACGCAAGCACGATTTTTGTGACAATTACTCCTCCGAAACTACTGAACCGATTGACATGTTTTTGGTGTCATTGGAAAGAGCGTAACGTGAAGTTGTGCAGGAAACCTTCTTTTTAAGGAAATAATTAGAGAGTGAGGCCCTGGGGCTCTTTAAAGTTTTGTATTTCTCCATAAGGATAACAAGGGAGATAATTTTTATTTACAGAAACATATGTTTGTTACCGGTACTTGAAAATAGTCAAAGTCTACTACATAATAATTGCTGTGTATTATGACTGTTAATGTATACTACATTTCAATCAAGGATTGTGTGCCTTAAACTTTACTCATAATGGATCTCACTACTTTATGTTCATGCTGGGAATAGTAAAATTTAGTTGAGAATAAGTTACCATATTTAGAAAATTTTACTATAATAATTGATGTATTTAATCTATATATACTTATTTAATACGCAAGCACGATTTTTGTGACAATTACTCCTCCGAAACTACTGAACCGATTGACATGTTTTTGGTGTCATTGGAAAGAGCGTAACGTGAAGTTGTGCAGGAAACCTTCTTTTTAAGGAAATAATTAGAGAGTGAGGCCCTGGGGCCCTTTAAAGTTTTGTATTTCTCCATAAGGATAACAAGGAAGATAATTTTTATTTACAGAAACATATGTTTGTTACTTGAAAATAGTCAAAGTCTACTACATAATATTTGCTGTGTATTATGACTGTTAATGTATACTACATTTCAATCAAGGATTGTGTGCCTTAAACTTTACTCATAATGGATCTCACTACTTTATTTTCATGCTGGGAATAGTAAAATTTAGTTGAGAATAAGTTACCATATTTAGAAAATTTTACTATAATAATTAATTGATGTATTTAAAATCACAAATCTTTGACATTATTAATTCATTAGAAACGAAACAGCTGATCGAGAAATCAAACAAATCATCTAGCCAACCTCATGTGAATAATGTTTTTACACAAACATAGTTTTTTTAACCAATAACATGATTATCTTTTACTTGTGGGTGTATTTTGAGTTTGCAGTTATGAAAGCACCAAGCCAAGTACCTTTTATCTGATTTTCTTTATAAACTAACAGTATTAATGAATTACTACATGAACTTTACAAGTTAGGTAATTAATTGTCAGTATGCCAAGGGGAAGAGTGGGTCCTCGAAAACAGTCAAAGGCAGAGGCACCCATCTAGAAAATCCAACTGAGTTTTTAAATATAGAGGTCAGTGGATTGCCAAGACACAGAAAAGCACCAAGCCAAGTACCTTTTATCTAATTTTCTTTATAAACTAACAGTATTAATGAATTACTACATGAACTTTACAAGTTAGGTAATTAATTGTCAGTATGCCAAGGGGAAGAGTGGGTCCTCGAAAACAGTCGAAGGCAGAGGCACCCATCTAGAAAATCCAACTGAGTTTTTAAATATAGAGGTCAGTGGATTGCCAAGACAAAGATTATACAAATAAAATGAGGCAGTGGTTTTATTGATATTAAGTTAATACTTCAAAAAGGGTCTCATTAATGGCACAAGGCTTCATGTGATCAGAACGGTTAACAAAATGTAAAGTAGAATCTAAAGTCCTAACATGGAACAAGTGAGTAAGGACATATTTTGATTTCGAGGATAACAAATTTGCCCGTCTGAAACAAAGTTACCTTTTAAAATGGAAAGATGCTAATTTCTGTTATCTTTGGCATTTGCAGCACAAGCACTTTAATGAAAGAGCAGCACTGTTCTTAGTCAGACCAATTTCAGTCATGAGCAACTATAGGCTATACTGTATATGTAGGCCTATATGTTGTTTTAATAGTAGGATAAGCATATTCATTACGGAAAATTCTGACCAGGGTAATATTCTTGAAGGTAATTTTAAGACTAAAATCGTAGTATTTATGGAAGTGCTTTTGAGAAAAAAATATTGTTTTTTAGTGTTTATTTTTAAAAGTGTTTTCTTCAAGCAGCATTTTATGACCCTCAAAATATGCTACATTCACTGCCTATTGGTTTGATATGATAAAATGTTTTGTTAAATGTGTTTTTAAAAGTCTTAAAAAAATAACTACCCTGTAACATACTTGAACTTGAACACTTATTAATTTACTAAATATAATACGCATACAGCTAGAAAATGGCTGAATTGCTTCCCTTCTAATGCTTTATTATTACTGTATTTAATTTTTGACGAGTCAATATATAACACGATGAATTTGTTTTCTAAATTCATATGTTTTTGCAGGGCATTGAGCCGCACAGGTTCACTAGTTTATTTATAAAGGGCATAGACCAATTTGTATGGTAACCATTTCAATTGAAAGTTTCAAGTAAAGTGAGTGTTAAACTTTGCATTCAACATATGCGTATGTGTTCATCAGTTTGTGTTATGAGTACTCTTTAGAGGCCAAAAACACTATTCGTTAAAACTTTTATATACATAGATATGTGCTTGTGAATGCCTGAAACTACCTGAGTTATTTTTGTTCGATTTTGATGAAATTTGGTTTGAAGGTGTAAGGCGGGATAAACTTGAATGAGTTTGTGAACCAGGATGATCAAACAATGGGAACGGGGTTTTATGGGGTAAAAATTGGTTTTTCTCATTTATGACCATCAAAACACAAAATTTCCCGATTTCTCTCTGGATAATTTTAAAGAGCTTAAAAAGACAAATATTTTAGATAGGCCTATTGAAGTGTTTTCGTGCTGTTATTAATTGCAGAAAAAATTTTAAAAAATGTAAATTTAAAATTCCTATGTTCTTATGGAGAATATTGTAAAATGTTGTAGATTGCTTGTTATACTTTGATCAAACTTGGCAAATTTAAATTTATTTATTTTATACTAAGCTATTAATATTTTACTAAAAACACACTTTAACAGCCTCCCTGTAGCAGCAAACCTAGGTAGGCCTACTCGTTTAACGTAATGTTATTTAAATACAGGGTGTCCCATAACTCTCTGGACACATGTATATAACGTTATCGCTTAGGTCAAGACAATCACATTTCACCATAGGAACATGGGTCTGTGGTGCCTAGTTTTCCGTCTGTCTGTATTTATGTGTTTTTTATAAAAGAATTAGCAACTCCTAAACCGTTTGAGATACACTGTTGAGATTTCGCAAACATGTTTATCTTATTCAAAGCTATTTTGGTTAAAATTATGCTAAAAAAAATCATCAACCGTTTCAAAATGGCGGCCATTTAAAATATTTGATGCCTCATTTCGCGCCAAAAATGGTGATTTCCTAGCTATTTTTTTTATCTTTTACAATTTTTTTTTCTTTGTTTGGACTCTCTAAATAAAATAGCATTCTTAGGGGTTTTTCATAAAATCAGCCTTTTTTAAATTTAAGCCATTTTGAAACTGACAAATATTTAGTAATAACATTTTTTTGTTAATACGCAAAGAGGGGATAAAGATGTATACCCAGTTTTATAAAGGTATGGTAAAAAGTTAAGAAATAAATTTTAAACACAAAAAAAAAATTGGCGGATATCTTGTAAAAAATGTTATTTTTGATTTTCGTTTGACTTTGAGCCAATAAACTCATTCCTGAATTCTTTGTTCTTACTTACGGGACACCCTGTATTGGGTACCCTCTTTAAAAAGGTAAATGATAGATACACTAAGCGATTAGTTATTTATTAAAACAGTAAATGCACAATGTATTTTATACATTTGTTTTTAGAAAACAACAAATTTCTCTACTTTAAAACTAAAACTCTTGAACACTCTTGTTTTGTAAATTTGTGACTAGTACAAATTTAATTTTACTACGTTTAAAACTTATTTTAATACTAAGGTTAAATATTTTAGCAGGTTTAATAAGATGCATTATTATAGGCTAATATACCCGTAATCCTAATGTGATACACAAAAATAAATTGCTGTCGGAATATTTCATCTCACGTTTGCTATTTTATTTATAATTGACAAATCTGAGTTGTTTTGTCTTTCACTCTAATAATAATTGATTGAGTTTACGTTGTCCTTTAATTCTATTGGTTTAGAATATATTTTATTGTTTTTTCCTTAAATGGCACTGTAGGTATTTCATATTTTCATTGACAAGATTGTCAATATTTTCAACTGAAAAGGTTATAAAAATAGTTAAGATCAAATATATACAATGCTAAGAGAATAAAAGCTCAAACCACTAATACCTACAACTACTGTGAATTAGATTGTCATATTGTGAACAAATTAATATAAGTACTGCTCTGTATGTACTAATTTGTAAATTTCATGTCAGAAATGTGTGCAGTTTGAGAGGTTAAAATATTTAATCTTTATACTATGTACAGTATTTCATTACATTTTAATTCTTGGGATAAGCATAAAGTCTCTTTACTAGTACAGTAGAACCCCGATATATGGCCTCGGTTTATCTGTTCTACTTGGAAGCCATAACATCAAAAATATTTTTTTCTCGGCTCATATAATAGTAGTTGCACTGTAAGCACTTGGTCTTCAAGGCTTAAAACATTCTCACGATTTTTCTGTTTTTTTTTTAAATATATTTTTTACATTTTACTGTGTCACTGCTCAGTTGAGCTAGTAGGCCTAAACTCTAAACAGTTTGTCGATTATTTCCAGTGTGGTTCGTTCAGCATTGTAATTGTTTTATTTCGTAAAAAAACAATGAATAAGAAAGTTAATCATAAAATTACCCAGGCTACTAGTTAAGGCTCCAATGATTTTTCAAGTAATTTTTACCTCCATTATTAAATATTAGTTTTTGTTATATGAAATCTTAATATTTTTATGTTACTTACTTAACCACAATAATTTATGAATAAATGTTCTGTTGGTTGTACAGAAATTGATATTATCTAAAAAAATAAATATTCATTTTTATAATAGTATGGTTTATACAATCAGATCGTTATCCCACCAAGGGCACGGTCCCCTGATATGAGGGGTTCTACTGTATAAGAAAAGTATATTTTCTAAAGCTTAAACCTACATCTAAACATTCCATTAAAACTAAATTGTTTATTGTCTTAAAGACTTGACATAAAACGTAAAGCTAAAAACCAGCAAACTTCTTTTACTATGGCTTCACAAGCCAATATTAAATCTTATTTACATCAAATCACATTTTAGCTAAAGCTAATGTACTACTTCAATGCAACCGTAAGCTAATTTGTACAAAGAACTAAAATAAAAAGTAATAAGAACAGATAAGATTTTTTCTAAAGGGAATACAATAAATTATTACTTATTTAAAGTAAATAAAAAAGGTGATGCTGAACTATATCAAATAAAAATCACTACGGAACTTAAGTCCTTATAAAAAATATCACTAAACTACACTACCATACTTTAAACTAATTGAAATCTACCCAAACATTTTACAACAATTACGGTAGAACCTTGTTAGCCAGACTCGTACAACTATGAGTTCTAAAGCTCTTCTTATTGAGGTATTTTACTCTAGAAGCATATATTGTTGCAAATTCAACAAGAGAATTTCAGCAATTTGCTAAATATTTTCTATCAAGGATTATAATATTGGGGATCTAATGTACTTACCTAATTTTAAATTAAGGTATAATTTTGTTTACAAACACTATTTGTACTAAAAATAACAGGAGCAATCTTAAGTTAACATTTGTATCGTGAATTGTGAATTACTGTAATGTAAATTGAACACAATGGAAAAAATTTAAACAAACTGATATTGACAAGTGTATGGAATTTCATGGTGTCTGAAAACCTCATTTTACATATGAACTGACTTCATAAATCTCAATCAAGACTAAACTAATTGTTAATTTAGCCTACCTAGTAGCTGGTAATATCAACTAGCCTTATACTTATTTACAATATTATAGAATAACTATTTCAAAGCTTCAGTTTAACACATATTGCAATATACAAAAACAAAAAAATGAGTGTAATGTTCGTAAACTACACAGAAAACTGAAACAGAACTTGAATAAGTATTCATTAACTATGATTTCATTGATAAAAAAAACTGGCTTTAGCCAGTTTAGTTTAATGTAATAACTACTTAAAAATCCATAAACAATTCATTACTCATTATTAGAGACTATAACAAAAACTACATTTTATAATCAACATTTTAATGTAAGTTCTCTGTCTTAAACACATGACATCACAATGCAATACAATTGTATCAACACCTGAAGCAAATCAATGCATTTTTTCTTAATTTATTCAATATGTTTTCTCATTTCTTTACCAGACGTCAATGTTTAAAAAATACATTTCGATATTAAGGGTATGTAATTCTGATGTTCATTTTGAATTTGATAAATTAAATATGTCTAATCAATAAAAAAATCATACGGATATTTTAGCTAGACCTCTTAACTTTTTAGTTTTCAGTTTTTTTTTTTTTAATACAATTAGTCTACAAATTTGATAAAAAAATTTGAACGTGATTTCAATCTCAAAACTGACAGCCCATTTAATCAAGCCCTTTGGATTTTTTATCCGGGAAGGAAATACCAATACAATGATCCTTTAGTATATGTGGGGGTATTTCTTATGGCAAACAATTAAATATCCCACAATAATTGACTAAAATCCATGATATCCAAACCCAAAATGATATTATTAAAGCAACCATCTAATTCTGAAAGGGGTAATTTACCTGCTATAATTGCATTGAGGAAATAGCTTTGGCCCCGAATTGGGCTATCTTCAGGCTGTATATTATCATAATTTTTTGTCATCTTCTGCTGAAGACCACACACAAATGCACTTTTGTTGTATTAAGTCTGTCTTTTTATCATGTGTTTAAATATGTTTGTTGTCAGATGTTTTTGTAAACATTAGTTAGTTTGAAAATAGAGTTTGTTCAAGCAAGATGTGTGAATAATATTCTTGTATAAGAAATAGAACATGGTGGCAGCTTAGTGGATTTTTTATCGAACAAAGTCTAAAACCACGCATGATGTCAAGTAAGGGCAGAAAAAAACGAAATACTCGTAGGCAAAGGTATGAGGACAATGAGGAGGATGCCCAAAGTGAATTCAACTACATGTCAGAAAGGGATTCTAGAAAGACTGAAGGTGAGTCACTAGGTTTTGCATTGGGACAGACAAACCGAGAAAATACTCCTACTCCTATGATAAATCTGACGTTACCAACTCCAGATACCTTCTCTTTTACTCCGAATGAGTGGCATTCCTGGAGGAATCGCTTTCAAAGGTACAGACGGGGGTGCGGTCTAGATAGCACTTCCGACGCTCGGCAAATCGATGTACTTTTGTTTACAATGGGTAGTAGGAGTGAAGATATTTTCGATTCGTTTTCACCAAAACCGAATACTTATGACGAGGCTCTTCGGGCCTTTGATGCATACTTTGTGCCAAGACGAAATATCATTTATGAGAGAACAAAATTTCTGAGACACAAGCAAGGGAGTGATCCATCTGAAAAATTCATAACAGATTTGCATGGTCTTGCAAAAACGTGTGCATGGGGTGAACTGAACGATGAGATGGTGCTTCTGGTCCTCATTATTGGTATGAAAGATGAGGCTCTAAGTGATAGACTCCAGCTGGACTCTCAATTGACTCTGGAGAAGGCGATTAATACCTTGCGCCAACACGAGGAGCTAGAACGCCAAAAACGTGAGCTCGCCAATACTAATGTTTTTATGGTGAATCAAACGTCAATACAAGTCGGTAAAACAAATCTGTCTGAAAGAGCTGGTGAACAGAAATTCACCGAGGATGCTATGAGAAAAAAGTGCAGGAAATGTGGTTATAACTGGCATGGATCACTGGCCGAATGCCCTGCTAGGAAAGCCAAATGTGACAAATGTTCCGAGATTGGACATTTTTTTCGATGTTGTCCCTCCCGCGAAAAGTGGATGAGAAAAAACAAAAACGTTGTTAAGGAAATCGAACAGCAAGATTCAGACAGTGGTTATCAACAGGTTCCTGAGATTTTCATAGGGAATATAGACAGCAGTGACAAAGCCTGGGTCCAGGAGGTAAAAGCAAGCTGTGGAAACCAAGATTTAGGTCTTATAAAATTTAAACTTGACACAGCAGCTGATGTAACCATGATTCCAGTAGGAGTTCTTGGTGATTTTATTAAGACTCTGCCTCTAGGAAAGTGCAAATCCCCTGTGTTTAGCGCAAAGAAGAAAGAACGAATCAATATTTTGGGAACTTTAAGGCTAAAGCTTGAACATAAGGGTGTATCAGTTTATGATCTTGCGTATATTTCTGAGGAGATCACTGTTCCACTTCTTAGCAGACGTTCCTGTGAAGAGCTGAACCTGGTGAGGAGAATTTTTTCTGTAGATTCACATGATATTGACTGGGCTACTAAGTATTCTAATTTATTTCAAGGGCTGGGAAATATGAAAGGAGAGTACAAGATTGAAATGAAGGAGAATGCAGTTCCTTACGCTATATCCACCCCCAGGGTTGTACCAATACCTTTAAAAACCAAGGTGAAAGAGCAGTTAGACGATATGCTTGAGAAAGGAGTGATTGTTCCAGTTGAACACGCGACTGATTGGTGCGCACCAATGGTAGTTTGCGCAAAAAAGGGAGGTGGGGTTAGGATCTGCGTAGACCTATCCAAACTCAACAACAGTGTGAAACGTCGGTTTTATCCTATCCCAAAGATTGAACTTTCATTGGCCGAGATCGCGGGAGCCAAGTACTTCAGCAAGATCGATGCGAATTCCGGGTTCTGGCAACTGAACCTTGCAGAGGAGTCACAAGATTACACAACATTTATCACCCCTTTTGGGAGGTATAAATTCCGTAAGTTACCTTTTGGAATTACGTCCGCTCCTGAAGAGTTTCAGCGCCGCATGTCAAAAGCTTTAGAAGGGGCAAAGAACTGTTTAGTGCACATTGACGACTGTCTGATATGGGGAAGAACGAAAGAAGAACACGACGAGTGTCTTAGGGCCGTTCTAGAGAGAGTGCAAGCTAATGGAATCACCTTGAATAAGCAGAAGTCGGAGTTCTGCAAGAAGACTGTGACATTTCTGGGGTTTGTGCTGTCTAAGGACGGAATCAAGCCTGATCCAAGCAAGGTACAAGCGATTGTGGACTTACCAGCTCCAAGAAACGCTAATGAAGTACAAAGATTCATGGGCATGATCACTTTTCTGGCAAAATTTATTCCGAACCGCAGTGAGATTTTGGAGCCAATTACGAGCTTGTTAAAGACTAAAAACGATTTCCTTTGGGGACCAGCTCAAGAAAACGCTTTTGTCACAGTAAAACAGATTTTATCATCAGAGCCATGTTTGACTGTTTACGATCCGCAAAAACCCTCGATTCTTTCTTGCGATGCTTCAAAAAAAGGTCTTGGAGCGGTTTTACTTCAAGTTGAAGGAGAAAACAAGAAACCTGTGGCATATATATCTCGGACTCTAACGCCTGCTGAAGAAAACTACAGTAACATTGAGAGAGAAGCGCTTGCGTGCACATGGGCAAGTGACCGTTTGAAATGTTTCCTGATGGGTAAAATGTACACAATTGAGACCGACCACAAACCGCTTGTCTCAATTTTCAAAACACAAAATTTGGACGAGCTCTCACCGAGGCTACAGCGGTTCCGAATGCGTATGATGAGATACGATTATCGCATGACCTGGACCCCAGGAAAAGACCTTGCCATAGCAGATCTACTATCAAGAAGTCCTATTCCGGCTGACGAAGATGGTGAATTGACCGAAGAAGTGGAAGCCTTCGTCCACGAAATCAGTCTGATTAGTATAAACACTACAGATGAAAATGTGACAAAGGTACTTCACTCACAAATGAGAGATCCAATCTGTGCACAACTTAAGTTACAAATTTTAGACGAATGGCCTGTAAAATCAAGTTTACCTAATGAGATTCAAGAGTACTTTAATGTGAAAGACGAGTTAAGTTGTATTGATGGGCTATTGCTTCGAGGAACTCGGATGATAATACCTCAAGAACTACGAGCGGAAATGCTCGAGAGGCTTCACAGTGGACACTTGGGAATCACAAAAACAAGGAAACGTGCTTTGGGAACCATGTGGTGGCCTGGAATTTCTCAAGAAATAGAAAGGAAAATCAAATCGTGTCCAGTGTGTATTCAGAACTCAACTAATCACAGTGAACCATTGATTCCGAGAACTGTCCCGGATTACCCGTGGCAAAATGTGTCTGTTGACTTGTTCAAACACGAAGACAAGTGGTATATGGTTATCGTGGATCACTACTCAAGATACTTTGAAGTCGAGGAAATGCATCGAATGAGGGCTTCAGATGTGATTCGGGTTTGCAAAACCACATTTTCACGTTTTGGAATTCCTCAACGTGTTTATTCAGATAGTGGGACACAATTTCACCATATTGACTCAAGTGAATTTAAATTGTTTGCAAAGGAGTGGGGGTTCTCCACATTCAGAAGTAGTCCCCACCACCATCAGGGAAATGGGGCAGCTGAAGCAGCTGTGAAAGTAGCAAAAGGGCTAATGAAGAAAAACAAGGATAAATTTGAACTTGCCCTACTTTCTTACCGGACCTCACCTCTTGAAACCGGCTTTTCCCCATCTGAACTTATGTTTGGAAGGAAATTAAGAGACAATCTTCCATCTACTTTGGTTGGAAATCCTGTGGAAAATAAGAATTTTCTTGAGAGGGAGAATAAGTACCAGAATAAGTACAAGATACAATTTGATAAACGACATGGAGCGAGTGGTTTAAGTGAATTAGAAGTTGGAAGCATGGTATGGATCACAGATCTACGTCGACACGGTAAGGTAGTCAGGAAATTGAACGAACCACGTTCCTACCTTGTGGAAACTGACAAGAGAACTATTCGCCGAAACAGGAAGTTCTTAGTTCCTGCACCGTACTACGGAGGAGATGGAATTCTTTCAAACTGTTCATCCATGGTCCTTAATCGTCCATGCAACTCACGTGATCGTCCAGGAGCTGGTACAGTAACCCGTTACGGAAGGTCCATTAAGAAACCGAGGCGGTACTGAGGTTCATAAAGATGTGGACATCTTGAGGCGGGATGTTGTATTAAGTCTGTCTTTTTATCATGTGTTTAAATATGTTTGTTGTCAGATGTTTTTGTAAACATTAGTTAGTTTGAAAATAGAGTTTGTTCAAGCAAGATGTGTGAATAATATTCTTGTATAAGAAATAGAACAACTTTATTGTTACAGTATTTAAAATATGACGCCATCAGCAGAAGTAACAAAATACAATGCCCATTTACAGGCTTGAAGGTAGCTCCAATTCACCAAAACTAGTTGCTGGCAGTTTTAAGGGATGGTCAATAACCAGCTACAGCACTTTCGATAGTTATCGTTAATCCGGAGGCTGTTCAATCATGGAGATGAAAATGTAATTGTTTCCATTCTACGCACGATTCCAACCTTAATCAAATATCTTGTCCATGTAATTACTGTTCTGTCAAATTCTATCTTGTGTTAGCTCAATTACTTCATAGATAGTCTAGAGAGGAGATGCGTTCCAGCCCTCAGGTGTCTGTGCGACTGAGGATGTTCGCTTCTTCAGCTTGATGGTCTCAGGCTCACCGAGAGCATCGAGCTCATTCTTGCTGAGATGCGCGACCAGACCTGCTCCCATGGAGTCTCCCAGCACATTGATGGTTGTGCGGAAACGATCCCTGAAAAAGTCAGCCGGTCAGTAAGGTGACACCCCATGAAAACTAGGAAACTAGTTGCAAAGAAATAATTTCTGCAGTTACAATCAGTTTAGTATCAAACCATCTCTGAGAAATTTCAACCAGCTGCTAAGAAAACACAACCGGCAATATTCCAGCCAACCGCAGGCCTACCTGTAACATTTTAAACATCTCGGGGAAGAACAATGCAGCATTTTGTGTAAACCAGGGGAATGATACAAGCAAGTTTGTAATTACTTAACATAAAAAGTAAATTATGCCAGAAAGATTTATTTCCGTTACAACTACACTGTTCATTTTAATAAGTTTTTATTAAAAAATGCCTGCAATCCATCAAGTAATTACCATGGATAATTTTATTTTCCAATCGTCATTCAGTTACTTAATAGCTATTTACCTTACAATAGTAAGAGCGTTTTTACATCACGCAGGTGAATGTTGTGCAACGAGCGGAAGCGAGTTGCTTAATTCTCCTAAGTGATGTAAACACGCTCTTGCGTAACGAGTAACGTACAAGATTTTACCTGACCCGATATACAGGAGGTTACGAACAATATTTTTCATTATCCATTTCACTCATCTTCTAACAGTAACGTTCATTTACAAACAAAAGCTAGGTTAGGAAAATTCTTCAAAACATAACAAAATTCAAGCGCACAGCTGATTTATAGCGTTGAACGTCGTTGGCTCCATAGAGATTTTTTAAGTTAAACACTCAAATGTTATTTAAATGGGTTTCATTACCTCACCGAGTGATTTTTTTTTAACTTTACATCAACTTTACAAGTAAAGAAGTTGTATACATCACGCTTGGGATAGGGAAGTTTAACATGGCGGGTTAGGTGAAACATTACAATCAGTTACCATGGAAACTACCACTAACTGAAACAATGATCATTTACCAAGAAAACCAATTATACAGTAGGTACCTGCAAAGTGTTTATGTGTGTTATTAAAGGGTTACTATATAATTAAGTAAGTTCTACAATATTTTCATCAGTTATCACACCAACCACAGGAATTGGTACTTCAGCACATTTTCAAAAAATTAAAATATGGAATTAAATTCTCCAATATGTCATGCCGTTGAATGCAATGGAAAAACAATCCACAGCCACTAATCTACGTGGAATAAAAACATTTTGGTTGTTGAACAGGATTCAATTTTGAAACCGCTTGGGAGTTATATGCAAAAATATGCAAAGCACCTTCTCCCAACCTCACGGTTAACCCTCAGGATGTGGAGATTTATTCTCGTTGGGTTTTCCTCTAAAACACATCCTGCCAAAGGGAGAGCTTGTCACAGAGGTACTGGGAGGCTCTCCAAAAACGAGAGTTTTGTGGACCAAAGAACAGATCAGAACTCTTCAACTGGCATCTTTGGGGAGTAAACTCAAGGCCTCTCTGAAAGGTGACACATGATTAAGGTGACTAAGGCAGAATACAAATCTCACAGCGCTGTCTGAATCTTGAATCCTACCCATTGGTTTCTGAGATAGCAATATTGAAATACTGATAGAATCAGAATTTAGAGACTGAACTATCTGAATCTTTGCTGCTTCTGGCAACAGGTTTCTGAATCTCTTTAGTCCCCTCAACCTACCAATGGCACGCTGGATTGTATGACTGATGTGGTTAGAGAACAAATGCTCTCTGTCAAGGGTGATACGCAGAGTATTGTGAGAGTTGCTGAATGTATAGCATGATAGCTCTCTCACTCAGGGATTGTACAGAATTGTGTGCTACATGGATTGCACTGCATTTTTACATTTGGTAAACATGAGTCCTTGTTCTACATACCAGCAATAGACAGTACAACAGACTGTCTATTGCAATGACAGCAACAATAGGTTGTCTTTGTTGCTGTCAATGGCAAAATCGGGTGCATCTCTGGCTTGAATGACAATTTGCAGTTGACAATCATCAGCTCACTTATATGAGCTCTACAATGATGTACATGACTAGGTAAGTCAGATATAAACAGATTGAACAAAATTGGCCCAATACAGCTGCCTTGTGGTATACCACATTCCTTTGTCAACAACCCAGATTTTTCAGTTCTCACTATTGCAACCTGTGCTCTGTGACTTATGACATTAACCAACTCTCTACTTCTCTGTCAAAACAATCGTAGTGCATTTTCGCTAGCGAAGGCTGTGATTGAGGGATTCAAAAACTTGTGAATAGTCTAGCATGACAACAGTGCTATACACTTTCCCTTCTCTTTAGCTTTGAACAGATCATCGAATATAAAGCAGTATGTACTATTGTTCTTCCTAAATCCAGATTGTTCCATTGGTAGAATATTTTCAGCGTTGATATATATTGCGAATGGTACCTGAGTCCATAATGGATCCTTCTCAGGATCATTCCAACATCCTTCTGCAGATTTAAAGAGCAGCTGCAACTTATAACCCAGCTACCCAGACAGTTTGAACATTGATCTTTTCAACATGAGCTCTATTTCAGTTAGGGGAGAATAGTATTCAGCAGTACTATCCTGATAACTATACCAATTTGATAATAGGCCTACCAAGGCAAAAATGTGGTTTGTATTCCACTAGAAACTGTAGGTCCCGTAGTTGCCATTAGCTGTATAAGCTATCAATTCAACAGCTGTGTCTAAGGAATATGTCGGCCTTAGTCACTAACAAGACTACAAGATCACTCATCACTCGCGTCACTCATCCTACACTCATCCCCATTCATACTTGGCTTAAAATACCTACTTTGTGTGGTCCCCATTTCATTGAAAAGTATTAAAGCAGGGGGAGAGAATGAATACACAGAACTTTGGTGTCTTGACGCCATATAAAGACCTAGCAAGGAGATAATTTGTTCATCTTTTTTTTTAATCGGTTGTAATTTTGATTTAGGGCCAGCCCAAGGTCGGGTGGTCTAAATACAAGCATAATATAATGACTTTTAATTACATTGATTAGTCCAAACATAAAAATGATCAGCTTTGGCTGGATCAAGTATTTGGCTTCCAGGTTCATTAATAAAAGGATTTTGAGGTATTACCTCATTTTGCTCTAACTCTATGTGTTTGTACCATTGACTATTAGATTCAGACTGGGTAATTTCGTATTATACAGAGGCCACTTATTTTACAGCGCGCTGCGGCGGTTGTGTTATCATAAATATGTTTCTAGGACTTTTCTCCTTTCGTTAGGAATCGAACGATACCAGAGAGGTCATAAAAAATGTATGATAGATAACCCAACCTAACATAAACCCCGCAGCGAGCTGTATAAGGGTGGCCTCCGTATAATACAAAATTACCGGATTTAGAAGTGGACATCCATCTGTATACACCAGCTGTTGCCAATTTTTTACTAAAAGATTGTAGTTGTGTGAGCCAGTCACAGAATGTGCTATTGTCTAAAATTCTTTTTTCTACCTTATTTTTTGTTGCTGACATAGTTGATGGGTCATAACAGTTGCTATAGCTCATAATAAGTCATTCCATAAGTTTAACTTGGTAAAACACATTGTGATTTTGAATGAAATTTGTAATTTACATCAGCACAATCTGTCGGTGGCTCACACCAACAACGACAAATTTGATTAAAAAACTGACAACAACTTAACCATGGGGATGGAATGTCTAGTTGTATCAATAGTCAAAGCTTGTACGGAAGGGTAATACCAGTTGTATTGGCAATCAAAGGTAATAAATACTATCATGGTATCGTCAAAATTAATGAAGAACAAGTGTTTTGCGATTCTTTAGTGTAAACATTGAATAGCGATAGTAAAAATTACTAGACTTTGAGACACCTCATCTTTGATATTGTTGCCTAAAAAAGTTCGCTCTAATTTGATACTACATTAAGAAATGAATGAACAACTCTATCAAATAGCACTGAGTCAATGAGATGAAATGGGTTTGTATGAAATTAGAAAACTTTGCTAAGAGCATAACTTGTACTAGCATCATAAGTTGCTCTCACATAATCTACAATGATACATAATCTGTAATTGATGTACTGTATCTACTTTCTTTTCTAACCCATTAGTTAATGAAAACAAGAATAGAAAGGATCTCCTGGTACAAGTTATAATATAGTTTTTAATCCAGTTTGTTTGGCTAGAGAAGGATATATGGCATTATGGAACAATTACGTTTCATAATTTTTTTAGTCTGTAATGAGATACTTTAGAAGAGTTCTTGGGAAATAAATACACTTCTCAGCTAAAATATTTGCTTCTGCCCTGGGTTGAAGACAGCTACACTATATAGCTAGAGTATATTTTTTTGGTCTGGATAGCTTGTTACGTATTGGACTTATAAGATTGTTTTTGTATTATGTTTAAAATTTGTAATAAGCAGAATTAACTGTATAAATTGTTCATTCAAATCTTTTTGTAATTTTTAGAACATATCATCTGTGCTTCCTTATTCTGGCTAGGAAACAAATGTAACTGATCTTATTCACTGACAAAACTCGAGACATCTCACACCATTCTTATACACTTCATTCTTGTTCAGGTTCAAATACACCCCATAGTTGCATCCGAATCTCAATCTCATAACGTAAATACATCTTCCTTGATAACAAGCTGCTCCAATCAAACATACATTAAACCTTCTTTAATACATTTTAGAACGGTCCCTGCTTGGTCTATGACTATCTACGGCAAATCTGATAGGGCCTGGCCCAGGTCTGGCAACGATATGGTGTTTTGAAGTTATCTTAGCTAATATGTAAAATTAAAAAAGTTTTAATAAATAATACACTGGCAAGTGTATGATCCTTGATAGGATAAATGATCAAATGAAATAAGAACTGCCGTTGAATGAATAACCATAACCAGAAGAAAGAAATTGTTTAGATTAATTTTGACTGATAAGTTTAAACTAAAACTGTAAAATCACATTTTGAGGTCACATCGTAATGAGACTAATGCTTCTAAAAGTGTTTGATAAATGAAAAAAATAATTCAGGATGCCAATTAATTGTTAAGTATAAAAAACT